TTTTACAACTTGTGCATTTCAAATTTACGCTTGTCATTTATTAAATTCACAGGTTTAATTTCAATGACTCTTTTTACTTAAGTGTGACCGATATTTCAGGAGAGATCATTTCCGGACTGCACACTGCCTACACTAGTCTCTGTGACCCATATGATTCAATGTGATTATCGGACAAGTGACATGTAGTTTATTCAACTGAATAAATGCTTTACATTCTTGTCCATATGATATAGTGAGAAGGAATACCTAGTAATGAAAACAGAGTTCTCAATCGATTATGTATTCAAAAATAGTGTGACAATTTACTTGCTTTGGCAAACCTTAATTCAGTGCTTTTTATAGGCATGTGATGTAAACAGTAGACGTTAGGCATAGAGAAATACATGAATCAGGAAGTTATTCATTTTCGGCATGACAAATTTCTTATTTAATGTAAATCTATCAAAAGTTTTCACCAAAACCATATACCGACTAAAAATCTATTCATTAAAGAAATAAAAGCCTTATTTTCTTATTGAATTTCTTACTAGGATCGTCCATAAAATCAAAACTGGTTATCAGTTCTTGATGAAAGTTATCCTTCAGCCATATGCCCATATATACTTTTCCTTCACAAATTGACATAAAAAGGGTTTTGCTTTATCTAATCTTCAACAATCAATCATAAGTGGTCATTATATTATTGTCAGTTACTGTCATAACTGCAATACTCAGATATTAGAATCGATTTTGAAACTTTATTAGTTGCAAAATTTATCAACTTGTGAATAAAATAGTGACTTTTCCTAGGTTTTCCGTGTACTGGGTCATTTCGTAGAAAAATTAACACTTCTCATAGTACAGTTTTAGCTAGTTCATAAAATGTATCACTTTTTGGAGTGGTATTATTTACAAAATAATGTTTTAGATCCGATTTGCTTTCCGTAGTTACAAGTCAAAAATCTCTGGAATGGTTTATATAGTTCTACTTTCTATTTTTCTGCCGTATAACGGAATTATATTCCACCACATTAGCCAAACTATAATCTAGTGGTAATTACAGTTCATCCGTTGCTCAACTGATTTTATCTACTATTTGAATTGTTTTTCCTAGGAGTTTCAATTTACAGTGGTGATAAGAGGTAACAGGGTATAAGTTTCTGTTATCTCATCCGTTGTCATTTTTGAAAAAAAAGTATTTTATGGTACACAAGAAATCAGACGCTACTGTAGAGAAGATTTGTAGCTAAGAGTGGTAAATGTTTGGTATTGTCCTAGCTTTGAAGCCTGTTTTTGGACGTTTCATCACCATTTTCTTCGTTAAAAGTGAAGCATTTCCACATTGTATGAATGTTGATGATGGATATTTGCTGACTGTGAGCGCTATTGGTTTGTAGATAAGAATAATATTGTCTTCTTTTTATCAGAGATTGGTTTTTGTAACGATTGATATCATTCAACCCATGCTGTTGAGCTGATTTCTGAATATTGACACGCTTGGTAGATTTCCGGTTGCCCGACCCCTTCCAAGTGGTTTGTCAACCGATTCAGTGTCCAAGGGTTTGCTGATTGCTACTTATTCGAGCCCTATACTCCTAGGAACGATTTTGCAGTTTTTGACCTTGCTTGCTGTAGGATTTTCAATTTGCCACAACCGATGTGATTACTTTTCACAAGATCTTTTAGAATATCTTAAAGGCTGTTTATTCCACCGTTTTTTCTAGTTCTACTACTAACAGGTATGACGTATAGAGATAATGACTTGCTGGATGATATAGAATTCGCAACAATCAGATGTTGGTTTAATTATCTGATTCATTTAGTTGTATAACAGATGAAATTAACAAGAAATAACCAGGAACAGAAAGAGTTTAGAGGAAAAAAACCAACAGTTGTAGTAGAATACGCATTAGCACGTGAGTTCGATTCCATCAGTGTCACCAGTTTCGCTTTACAATACTCATGCAGTACATTTATAAAGTTTCGACATTATTAAAGCATTTTCTAGGAAAAAATATCAATAGTCCAAGTCCTTAACGATGGGTCTTGCTGCTTAGGGATTTTTTTCTGCCCGACTTCCACTTTGTTAGAAATAACCTTTTATTCACCTTTGACAGTTATTTTTCTTATCCAGTGCATGGGAACTTAGTTTTTTGTGTAGCTAGGCTACCAGTGACTGGTGGGTAGCAAAATAAGTTATCAATAGTAAACTAATCGGTCAGCACATGCATTTTATCGTGTCCTGGAAAGCGTATACCCTTGAATTAGGCCGAAAATTGTTCCGTGAAGAATTTCTTGTCCCATACATAACATGCTAATGTATTATTTAACTTCCATTAAAAGTATTTCAGAAGAACGCTCGTTTAACCCTACCACTGTTACAAACTAGTACTCTAAATCATTACTAGATAAAATTTTATTCGGTGGAGTTATTTATTATGTTAACCAAGTATTTTATTGTTATGGAATACTAGATTTTCAGTTTGACTACCTGAAATAGCTATGGGTTAGCAGACGTATATTAATATTGGGTAGTGACTGAGGGTGAAATAAAAATTGGGAAAGTCGTAGGATTCTAACCAGCGACCAACTAGTTTCCCATTTGGTGTTCTGCCAACTAAGATACGAAACCTGACATCTGATCAGATTTTTATTCCACTTCAGTCATCGCTCAGTAACACTAGATTTGATACTTTTTATGCTACAGATTTTCTGTTTTTAGTCAAATTCTACTACGGTAGAGTTTTATGTATTTCTTTCATGTAACAGATATCACTACTTTGATGAATAACTGAATGTTCACCGATGTAGTTGTCAAGTTTCAATTGCTTATCAGCATTTACCAACCAATAATCAAATGATGGTACAGTACACTTCGTTTTAGAAGTTTTAGGATCCTTTCGGTTCATTGTAACTCACATTTTTCCTCTTACTATTTGTCTTTATGAATATGTTACGATCCCGTTTTCTTCACCATCGATTATAAATGTTTATTACCTTTCTTCTTAAGATTTTTTATTTAGATATGTGAACAACAATGATACTTATTCACTGCAATTCGAATAAAATATACAAAAATCTGAACTATATATAAAGAACAATTTTATCCGCCTTCTATTGATTTTTACCACGCAGTTTATTTAAGTGTGTGTACTTTGATGTGATCGATAAATATCGTGTGTATACAAAAATGTGCTCTGATGGGTACCAACACTTTTAGTTATGCACTAAATGTTGTGTCCATATTATTAATATTTGGAACAGTAAATTTCAACCAACAGGGCAGTCTACAACTTGACATTGGTTACTGTTCGGTGGTTTCCTTGTGTATACACTTCTTAAGTGGAAGTAGTTGTATATGATCTGTATTACAAAAGAAGTATATTTTTTTTTTAATGTACGGCTCAAAATCAGTGGATGGATATAGGTTCCTTCAAAGCTGAAGATTTATTGTCATATTTAAACTTAATAAGCTGAGAACTGAGTTTTGGTGTCATTCTTTGTAATTTCCTGTCTTTGATAGGATCGAATTGATCGGTCTTTATTGGGAAATGGGCTCTGGGATGGATGCCTCTGTATTGCCAGTATTTTCAGCTTGGTGGAATGCAAGATGCACATTCCTTCCTATTTGAGACTCATCAACTGGATGTACCTGCCCCCCAAGTGATTGGTTTGCAGACCGTGGCATCAAAACCTAAATTGTATCTGTTGCACACACAACGCCTATCGTAACTCAGTGACCCAGTGGATAGACCTGTGGCATTTGAAGTGATTTTTCTTGGGTCCAAGTCTTATTAGGGAACAACATCATCCACTTGGAGAGGTGTGGATTCAGCTGACCAGCCCCGACTGAGACGAAACCTGACTCCTACATTCCACTGCCAGCCATTATTAATCATTACTGCTGAACGGGAAGCACATATGCATTTTTTTCTGCGGACTACATTTAACTGTAAAGCGTTTATAATCAGCATAGAAAACATCTTCTATTGAGATTGCTGTTTGACGTTGAACTGGTTTGTTGTATAAGTGCGAATTCCATTATTGTCCCTAAATGCGAGTGGAATATGATTAAAAATACTCTACAGAAACGGCACAACCCTACATCAGTAATAAATTTACGCCTTTGTTTACCGTCTGAAAAGCCTCCATATGAGATTACGACTATCTGGTAGAAAAGTAGGCAAATAGTTACTTGTACTTCCCTTAGTTCACCTAAATTGGTCAGTATTCATCATCTTCGCTGATGTACTAACCTAGCACATGCAATAAATTAAGTAGCTGTGTCTTCGTACCAACTCATTAGATTAGTGTCTCTCCCTCAGTAGCTTACTTGTTCAAATGACTTCTTATCGATAACTTGAGGAATAGCTTTATGTCCATAGTTCATTTTTATCGAGGCTACTTCCAGTGTATACATGTGTGCACAAAGACACTGTTTCCCCAATGTATTCTTGTTTTCTACTTACGGAAAGCAAGTAATTCACCACTTTACTGAGTTATAGCATATCTCTGTTGATTTTTACTAACTAGAGACGATTTTAGAAGCTATAGGAGAATACATAGTGCATATCTAATGTACAAGAAAATATGTTCAAATTTCCAAGGTTAAGCAGCATTTAACAATGCTTGCTATATAAGGGTTACTGTGAGCGACTTATCCATTTTGGTTTGTTGCCTTTTAAAGATCATCGTTAGTTGAGTGAAGGCAATCGGCAAGAAATCCTGAATCTAGGCTTCATTCTCTTTGGGACTCATTAGCAATAGCATATGTGCAACAGTTCTACGTTTACTGTCAATAAATGCTCAATGGAATTAAGTTATTATTTCACTTAGTACTTAGCTGAGGAATTAATGTTTTGAATTTTTGAAGATGGATATTTTCTGCAGGGATGTTAACAAGTATAAAGCCATTCTTTATAGTTTTCTTTGTCAGATTACAATTATGAATGACTAACATTGTCATTTACAAAAACAATCATCATGAAAACAAAATAAACAATTACATTATTTAGACTTACTTTGTAATGTTTAGAATGTGATGTAAATTCAGGATTCAGTCGGCTTAATCGCATTTGTCCAAGTGGTATCATTGAAAAAGGATGTTATCAAAAGAATTCACTCTTTATTATAAATAATATTTACAATATGATTTAGTATTTTACAAACAGATAATATCGTAAATAAGAAGGTAAATGATCTACTTAGTTACCGTTACCATTTAAAGCATAAAAGAAATGAATTGACCTCGATCGATTTCAATTTATTGCAGCACCTTAATTTGGATTGGTAAAGTCGTCAATAGCGCTTAATATAACAATAAATAGTCTATGCGTTGTAATATGTAAGCACGTGATGTATAGCATATATATATATATATATATATATATATATATATATATATATATATATATATATATATATATATATATATATATATATATATATACATCGATGTGTTATAGTTAAATACTGTCCACCTAGATTAACAAAATAGTTTAGCTCTTTTATTTATGCTTGTCAGAGTGAACAGAGAGGTGATTTTTAACACTCACTTTTTTCAGTTCTGGTTGGTGGGCCTGGTTGTAAAATGTTTGTAGATGTGTAGTGCATACAAGTTTGTTGTATGTAACTGAACACGTGAAATAATATTCAATACTTTTTAACATCTGCTTGCTCACGTTTACATTTTCAACTGACACAGATAATCTTCGTCTTCTCATTACCTTGTTTAAATTGACATGGATTGGCTTATCTTCCGTCCATAGAAGTATTATAGGTTCTCTACTGTCCTCAGTAAAATGACAATGATAGGATCACTTGTTGTGGGAGTTGACTTAACGGCTTATATCTTTATCAAGAACCATTTACAGTTCCAAATACTAACTTGTTGTACAGATAAATACAAATTAGAATTATTAGTTACCAACCGATGAGTCACAGGTTAAAACACATTTCCACCTACTGAGGTCTAGGCAGTCGGGTAGTATATTTGGCTTGCGTGCAGTAGGTGTAAGTAACTAAGTGACTACCGCATTGTTCAGGATAAGACTGCCAAGTGAATTTCCTTTTTTTCCTTATTTAGTGAGAAATTTTCTATATTTTTCACACTGTGCTCGAGAACAGAAAGGAGCAAAGAGGCAGCCCACTAAAATATGGTTCCACGTAGCCCCCAGGATAGTATCAAATAGGTAGTTATATAAATCAAAAGTTTGGTGTGTCACTGCTTTTAAGCTCAAAATTTTTTGACACAAAGACTAAGGATAAAAGTTTAAAGATTGTTATAACCTAACAATGAAGCTGTAACCATGATGTAATTCGGATAGGTTATTTGTCAACTCTCAGCACAGTTAAGTCATTTCTATGTAAAAACTTATAGCAATCACCAAATTGATTCATTTCACATTAAAGATGAGGTCTGATAAAGTACCTATCTGTCAGGATCTATTGCATCTGTGCTACGCTGGATGAAGATATCGGATTACTGACCAGAACGTGTGCAGAAATTTATATGCCACTGCTGAAGTCAGGTAGTCCCAAAGTCAACTCCACATATAGTCCCTAAAAACTTATCCATGTCACCCTACCAAAAAAAGTGAAGTTGAGTAATTTGATTTTGAGACGAAGACTAACACCAGCCATTGCTAAAACGTATTATGCAGCAAAGCTTAACATTGTAGAAAAGATAAAATACTGGTTTCACGACAAGCCTTAACTCTGCATAAATGATTATATCACATCCCAGCTCGTTTACCCGCTTAAATATGTATATGGACACATATCAAAGGGAGGAGTAATCGAGCTATATGTTTGAGAGTAGGAGGACACGTGCCTGAATGACTTCAAAAATAGATGGAGTCTGAAACTTCGATGAGCGCAGACAGAAGACAACTTCCTTAACATATGGCTAGGCTTATCATAGAAATGGGTCACAGAATTAATGTTCAAATGGCTTTCAAAGTTTTATAACGCAATCAAAAAATAGTTGAATGATGTGGCTGCTTCATGGGAAATTTGACCTTCAGTATCAAAATGATTATGAGTTCTTACCAGTAAACAGGTACACCGTACGGACTAGTACCACCAATCATAATACTGGGGCTCAAAGCTTATTTCCAAGTGACTGGAAGTATACATTAATAAATCAAGTAAATAGTGGTGGTGAGTAAGTTAATTCAATCACCACAGTATGACGCATAATCGATAAGCATTAATAAGGCAGAAATATTGGTTCATTACGTTGGCTCCTTCATGATGGATTATTATTCCTAGAATATATTTAACAAAGTTAGACGTAATTTTTCTCTCAAAAAATTCCTTAAGAGAATCGCAGCTTGGAGTGGATTTGAAGTTTTGAAGTTGGTTGAGCCTTTTCGAAGTCTCAAAAGACAATTTTTCTGCTCTTTCTCCATCAGTCATAGAATAAGTCTACTCATATACAGCTGGGGTGAAGTTTTATGCGTAAGAGCTGATGAAGTCACCTAGCCTGATAACTGAATGTCTGAAAACAAATTTATATGGTCGAAGCACACCAAAAGACTGTCAAGTTACACTCAATACTCACTTATGCTTAACAAGAAATGCAAATTCTGTTTTATGCATGAAACATGATTTATCAAGTAGAGTTGGATGCTACAATGAAACCATTCCTTCTAAGGTGTATGACTCTAGTATGGTAGACATTGTTGACATATACGCGTACCGTTACAGTATCCCAAGAATTGACTTTTGTTGTTCACATCCTTGATGGGCTTTTCCTTTAAAGTATTAATAGACTACTATGGCAAAATAATAAGTTTAAGAAATGCAATTCAAAAACATTTACGGTAGATAACTTGATGTTTACCGATGTCTCAGTAATGAAACATGTTAGAAGTCTGGATGAAATGCTCAATAAATACTGAAGTTAATTTTACAGGTGGAAAAGCGAACCTTGGTTCGTACGAGAAACCAATGATTTGATTTGAAGACACTTGGCGGACTACACTCAGACCAAAAACATATAAATTAAAACGTAAATGTAAGTTAAATGAAGTGTTACATTAGGGAGACTTGGTTAGTAGAAGGAATATCAATTGCTTGAAACTTTATTGCTAGAAATATGTGAAACTTTATAAAGCAGTAGATGAGGCCATGATTACAGACACTGCTATTTGTTGCCGTGCAGCCACCTAATCTATGCTAATCTTGAGATGTGCATAAACGACTGAGCTTTAAACAACATGAGCAGTAGGTGCGCTGAAGAAAGAAAGAGTCAGTGGCCTGAAATTACAGCTAGTAACATCTTGAAAACAACGTCGAAAGATTTTAATAATATTTATTCGCTAAAAATGATACCTTAAATAATTTAAAACGAAGACATCTATTTAAGAAACATCTTTTATGCAGTAAATAATTCGTAAAACATCAGAAAAAAAATCAGTCTATGAAACTGAGAAAAAACAGAACCAGTATAGTTGTTCCAAATTTTTTTAAAAGTTATTTAGTGAGGTGGAGTATATTTGAATAAAATATTGAGTTTGCGGAGTCTAGTTTAAACGCTTTGAGGGCTTGGCACACCTACAACTAAATGTAGTGTGAAGACAAATACCTGTCGATAACGGTATATTATCATCGTGCTACAACGAAAGATGTCAGAAGTTGGGAATCAACTTAACTGTTTATTGGCACCACAAGCAATGTGAGACCTAGTGCTTCTAGGTTTAATTCCGTATGGAATCATACGACTACCTTGTTAGAGATTTCCAAACTCGGAAATAATAGTAATTCATTACTACTATGCTCAAGTATTTAATTGGCTGACGTCCATCTGTTACAAAAATGGTTTTGTAATAAACACAATAAAGTGATCATAAAATGACAATAAATGATAGAAGTAAGGATGCATAGTAGCCAGCAGTGGAATGCAGGATTCCCATTTCGTCCTATTTGGGACTCGTCAACTGGATGCACCTGGCTCCCAGTGAGTGTTATCGTTCCCACCGGCAAATCCATCATTACTATATGATTAAAAACACAGACAATATCGAGGCATCCATGCTGGAGCCCATATAGCAGTAGAGAACGATTAATTCGGTCCAGTCAACAGCGATATAATACAAGCAGCAAGAAATAATAGGAATTTTTCAGTCAGGAAGTGCAATGTAACCATTAAACTAAAATAAGCAATACTGAGTTACAGTCTGTTTGATTTGAGACATGAAGTGAAGACTGAAGGTTAAGTACAAACTGGGATTGTGACAGGATTTAAAAACCATCAACATCCATATTATCAACCCAGGTGAGCTAAGAGATTAAGCTACTGACCAGCCGTTAACTAGAAGTGAAGTTAAGATCTATCCGCTTTCTGAGTCTCGTATCTCAGATAGTGGAGTGCTAAGTCGGCAGTCCGAAAGGCTTCCACCTCACCTTCGATTATCACCCTTCGTCAGTATTATCAGTTCGCCTAACCAAGTTTACCTCCTAAAAATCCATCAATGAACAACGAATGATATTTGAATGTATTCAGCATGAAGTCACAAGTCTTGGTTTCATACCTGTGAGTGCTTATCAGTGGAAAGTTTGTGAGACCCTATAACAACTTGGAGTTTTTAACAGATTTGAACATCTATCAATGTGGGGGGTGCTATCACTAGTTTTAAAATGACCATGGCTAACTCTTATAAAACTAGATGATGTGAGTCAGTCAATAGATGCTGACTACTGCAATACTTTAATCACAAATACCGTGTATTTGATGAACACATTTCAACCTACAGTATCAAAAGTTCTATCAAGTATCAACTAATACTCACATTTTACTGCTACTGTGAACAAAGAGGTTTTTAATAAATAAAAGAATGATAACGTAAACAAACAATTCTGCTTCATATTAACCAGATACAAGTTACTATTTTCACCTAGTAACCATACCGTAACCAGGGTTACATGCAGGTTATGCACAAACCTCTAAGGTCATAAAGCTGACAGAAATGATACAGGATAAAACATGAAAATAAAAAAGGGCCTAATGGTTTATGAATCCTCTGTTAATAAAACTGGCCTAGGTTATACTTTGACTTTATATGCATTTATCTTTCTATGAGAGTAGTCA